GGTTGGGGTGGTGGGATCTGGAATTCTGGGATGGGGGTTTGGAATGGGATTGGGAATGGAATCTGGAATGGGATCAGGAATGGGAACAGGAATGTTGGGATGGAGAGGAAATGGGATCTGGAATGCTGGTGTGGAGGGTTGGAATGGGATCGGGAATGGGATCTGGAATGGGATTGGGAATGATGGAATGGGATTGGGAATGGGATTGGGAATCGGATCTGGAATGGGATCGGGAAGGGGATCTGGAATGGGATTAGGAATGGGATCGGGAATGGGATCAGGAATGGGATCGGGAATGGGATCAGGAATGGGATCGGGAATGGGATCGGGAATTGGGATCTGGAATTGGGATGGGGAATGGGATGGGGAATGGGATCGGGAATGGGATCGGGAATGGGATCGGGAATTCCTGGGGGTGGTCTCTGGGAATGCTGGGATGGAGAGCGTGGCGGACTCCAGAATTCCAGGCTGGAAGGAGTGATGAGCTCCAGAATTCCAGGTTTTGCGGGTGCTAGGCTCTGGAATTCCACGCTCTGGGTTTGGGGCTATGGCTGTGGCGTTCCTGTTCCCATTCCCGTTCCCATTCCCGTTCCCATTCCCTTTCCCATTTTCCCCGGATCCCTGTGGAATTCCCATTCCCATTCCCTTTTCCCTTTTTCCCATTCCCATTCCCATTCCCAGTGTCCCCATTCCCATTCCTGTTCCCATTCCCATTCCCATTCCCATTCCCGTTCCCATTCCCCATTTCCATTCCCATTCCCATTCCCATTTTCCCCAGATCCCTGTGGAATTCCCATTCCCATTCCCTTTCCTTTTTCCCTTTTTCCCGTTCCCATTCCCTTTTCCCTTTTTCCCATTCCTGTTCCCATTCCTGTCCCCATTCCCATTCCCATTCCCATTCCCATTCCCATTCCCATTCCCATTCCCTTTTCACTTTTTCCCGTTCCCTTTTTCCCATTCCCGGTGTTCCCATTCCCGTATCCCAGCGGAATTCCCGTTGTTTTTCCAGCCGGGCGTGCGGCTGCATTTCGTGGAGCTGGGYCAGGGCCCCGCGCTCTGCCTGTGCCACGGATTCCCGGAATCCTGGCTCTCCTGGCGCTTCCAGGTGACGGCAAAATTCCGGGATTCGGGAATGCGGCCGCGGGGAGGGGCTTTTCCTGGGAATTTTCCCGGGATGGGATCCCCGGGACATTCCGGAATGTTCCGCCCCAGATCCCGGCGCTGGCCGACGCCGGATTCCGCGTGATCGCCCTGGAAATGAAGGGATACGGGGAATCCACGGCGCCTCCTGGTGAGYRRGAATTCCGGGAATTCTGGGATGGGTTTGGAGTGACCCTGGAATGGGAATCCTGGGAATTCTGGGATGGGATCAGAATGACCCTGAAATGGGAATTCTGGGATGGGGTGGGCTTGGAATGACCCTGAAATGGGAATTTTGGGAATTCTGAGGTGGACTCGCAATGACCCTGAACCGGGAATTCTGGGAATTCTGAGAATTCCGGGATGGGCTTGGAATGACCCTGAACTGGGAATTCTGGGTTGGGATGAGCTTGGAATAACCCTGGGCTGTGAATTCCAAGAATTCTGGGAATTCTGGGATGGGATGGG